GGCAACAATATATTAGAAATACATGAAAATTTAATATATGCAATATGTAATGTCATTAAAAATGAAATTAATTAATTTATTTATCACATTAATATATTTTATTATAATTTATTATAATTTATTTATCAACTTTAATAATTCAATTAACTTATCATTATAACTTCGAACAGATCAATGTTTACAGGAGGAAGATTGTCATTTTGAACATTCGTTTTAACCTACAAGAAAGATATAAAATAAATGAAAAATAAAAAAATTATTTTTTTATTCCAATTAATACAACTGTAAAATCTATTTTTTTGAAGTAAACAAAAAACGAGTAGATCAAAACCATCATTCATATGAATGATTTTTTTATTCAGAATGATCTATCAAACACACTGATAAAAGTAGTCGGTTTCCTTCCTAGTAGTATTGTATATGTATAATATAGATAATATATCGATAATATAATATATCTAATGTGATTTCCTTCTTTCCCTATTCTTAGAAGTACATGAAAATGAACGTCAACATTGTTCTTCTCGCAAAAGCTTCTCGAAAATTTCAAGAAGTCGAAACTTTGTATTTTTTTCTTGATTCGAAACTCTCGAAACTTAGATAAAAAGAGGTATAAAGCAACGAACAAAAAGTCATTTGCGTGAAAGAAATAATGTTTGATTCATGAGTATCTTGAATGTTCAGTACCAAATGCTTCGCGAACGCTCGCTAATTCATTTTTGTTCTCAAGGATATAAGCATATATATGATCAATTGTAATTTTGAAATGTGAAATATCCAAATCTAGAAAAAGAAATCTTATTACATCACTATTAACAGTATACTCTGCAAAACTTTTCGATAGATCCGGTATTGTAATGAACAAAAATAGAAGTAGATCCAGAAAGAGCTCGGATGTTAGTATTCTCGAACAAAAATGTCGATTACATATCTTTGCACGTTAAGTTTTTATTCATTTTCGTTCAACTGTACTTGATAATAATTCATATAAATATGTTAATATTCCAGTTCGTAAAGGGAGAAATTCTTGCTACAAAATAAAATCAGCACTTCAAGTCCCGATGTATGTAAAACTCGTGTCGTACGTGGTTGGAATGTGAACTTCACAATCACGAATATACATTATACACATAAATATACATTAACCTACTTATAGTCGAGTTCCGATCGAAATTAGCCAAAATTAAATAAGATTGTTCAAGATCAAATCACTCGTTCAACTTACGTTACTAATAATAACTTACAAAACTTCAATGATGTTCAAAAAAAGGCATACGCAATCTAAATGCGTCGATTGCTCGCGAAAACAATAACGTAAAACTTCATACTCACTTATACTTCAAACTTACAATCCTACAGCTGAGATGCAATTCTCTGCAGCTTCTAAAATGCAAATGTAGCTTCGTAACAAGACTGAACCATCTGCATTAATATAATATAACGCAGAGGAAACAGCTGAAGTGATAGAGAGGCGGTAAAGGAAATTATTCCCTCTCTCACTCATCTAAATGAGGAAGCTAAACGAGTTTTTCTATGTATTTTCAGTCTTTATATTTAAAAATGTATTGAATTTATTCAAAACAATCAATCAGAATCGCATGCTTTCAGGTATCTTTCTATAACGTGTGACATGGCCAATTCATTGGAATGAAACGAAATTTCGTGGAGAAAAGTGGAGAGGCGAAGAGGATCCTGTACATAAAATTTTAGCAGCGGATCTTTATCAGATTCTGAAATATTAATTTGGATGCAATACAATCTTGAATCTTGTCATATTCGCTGTATCAAACGCGATGATACTGAAATGCGGAAATACATTTAGTTTGCTTCGATTATTTTCTTTAACTATAATTTCGAAGATTTCATCGTTTAGTAGCGATAAATAAATGTCTTCTATTTTTTCAAAATTTTAATTTAATAATTTGAAACCAGGTGTACCAACGGAAGAAGTAGTTATATTATTATTAATATTTAATTCGTCTTCTTCCTCTTCGCTACTCGATAAAATTATATTGTGGCACGTAGAAAGACGATGAAAAAATATTATTTTACTCGAGGTGTCTGTTGAAAAATTTTAAGAATTTTTATGACTTCACTTTAATTTATGAGAATGATGCATTTCGAGTCATCGCTCGAAAAATTTTCAGTTTATAGCGCCATGTCTGAGAGAAGGAGAAAAAAG